TACTGGACAACAATCTTGAACTAATTTAAATCGGAAAATGAACTCATAAAATGATTATCTACTATCCAGATATTTCACAGGTGGTTAGCTAATCTTATAAAGCTAACATTAACTTAACTTTAACAACATTAACTTTTTTAAAACAGATGATAGAGTTGCAAGCATGCAAGTGAAATGTATGATTCTCTTTTATATTATCAGTGGCAAACGTAGCTGAAAGTAATATATCACATAATTCTTGATAATAATCAACTATTGTTTACGCTATTACAAAATTACCATCTGATAATGCTGAATCATCTTTAGTGGGTAGAACAGGCAGCTTTTCTGAATCAGACCGCTTTGATGGGTTGGGCTGCCAAACATGACAAACTTTACTTAGTAAATTAAACAGAGTCTATATACTTCACAACTTGAAGATTGATTATAGATGTTGTTCATTTACCTTGTTGGAATTTGATCTCAACAAGAAGCAAATCTTTGCCTTGGTGTCTCGCTTCGGGTCTTCAAGCTTTAGAGAGATTTGAGCTATATTAGTAGCTGCTTTTTTGATAACCTTGCAAGCGTAATCGATAGCATGATAGCTATACTCATTCCAATTGATAGTAATTATCCGATTATTTAAATCAGCATTCGGACAATCTAAACCGTCTTCCTTAAATTTAGCTTCGTAATCACCATTTTCTAGAATAGTATTTTCAAGTCCAGTCGTAACTAAACGTATCCTAATAACTTCCTGATGAAAATCTGACAAGATAGCAGTTTCATCTTCATCTTTTTTAGCTAAGATTAATTTCATATGGACAGTATCATCACTTGTGTCTATTTCGGATAGGAAAGCTAACGTTTTAATTCGTTGCTGCCAAGATGGAAAGATATACTTGTAGGCTGAATAAAAGGAAGGTTTGACGCTGGAAATGACGGCATAGTCAGAGAAATGGCTTACCGCAAAAGTAAGGCAATAATATCCATTTTTATCGCGGCTATATTCATACTCTACATCTTGCTGTTCCCACTTCTCACATCCGTAGCTTCGACAAATGATCTTTATTGGGATATTAAAGTTGTTGTTTTTCTTAAGTGANACTATCTGGTTGATATATGGAACGGGGACTTGAAGTAAAGCTTTCCTTGTGCTATTAGG